TAGAGGATCAGATGCAGATACGGACCACTTCTTAGTAAGGGCAAATATTAGAATCAGAATTTTCACTTGCCCATGGCCTAAGAAGGAGACCAGAACAACTTGAGATACGGGAAAGCAAAAAAGAGAAGACACAAGGAAGATGCCAAGAACAAATAAGCGAGCAAATAAAAGAGCCTCAAAACGAAAACAGCATAGATAAATTATGGGCTAACATTAAAGAAGCAATAGCCACGGTATCCAAATAGGTACTTGACAAAAAAACCATACGGCACTTGAAGCTCGGAACCGAACTACAAACAAAATGTTACTACAACCGCACCTAATAGAGAAGAATATTTAGACAGCAACAAGCAGAATTGTAAAACGGAAACACAGGGAATGCTAGCTGTCAATATTAACGGAAATAGACAACAGAACAAAAGAATATTTTTGCGAAATCTCAAAACAGAAAGCAGGATACCAACCCTGCCTCATGCAATAGAAAATTGTCTCACAAAAAATAATGGAGAACTCATAACCAATGAAAAGCAGATGTTTCTTCTTCTCATTGCGCCGCCCCCTCCGAAGGTTTTCGATCTAACAACCAACGATCCTCTGAAGATTTCGGATAATTTTCTAATGAGCCATCTGGGAGAATGCTGCTTTCTCCCTAATGAACTTTGGGCCATAAGGTGATTAATTTCAACTCTTTGGGGGTACAGGTATCGAGCAGCAGAAGTACCGCGAAAGTGGTAGACGCCAGATTAGAAAAGCCGTAAGAGTATCAAGGTGTCTGCAAAACATAATTTGGAAGAACAAATATATGACCACAGGGAACAAGGCACGAATTTAGAAGACTTGAATCAGGCAATTAATGACCTGCACCGCCAAGACAAGGCCTGAAACATGTGTTATAAAAAAGCAAATGAGAACAGCGGAGATGAAAATACTAAGAACAATAAAAGGGATCACATAGCATGACAGGATAGGCAACGAGAACACCAGTGTGTCTATTCTTGACTTTGAGAGAAGGGAGTATCCCCGGGAGCATCCCAGGGAGTCGCTCCTCGCTCACGATCCCTAGCGGAAAAAAATAGTATTCTTGAATGATAGGGAGTGCCAGTGAACACGCAGTCCCTGCAAGCACTGTTGCCAGCTTATCTGACCAATCAAAATTGAGAAAATTTTGACGGTCTGACATGCTCGTCAACGTCATTTATTTACTATTGTGGCGGAATTCGTACCAACCTTTGGTTTTAAAAGAGACAGACATCTAAGAATCATGTTATAAAATAAAATAAAATCATGCATTCAAAATTGGTTTTTGTTTTTTTAAGCATGGTTCATTGCTTCTGTTCCCTATTGAGGTAAGGTAACGTACTACTAAAATGAATACAGTTTTAACTGCTTAAGGATATTCATTTACCAAATTGAAAGTAAAAGAGTAATTTCATTTATGTAGCCGCTTTCCTTCAGCACTTTATAATGAATCGTAAAATAAGTCTATGTTCCTTAAAGAGACTGAAGTAAATGTACCTTTCAGGAAAAATAGAATAGCACAATGAAATCCATTGCAAATTGTGAAAAATCAAAGCCGCTATCGCTCAAGCAAAAGGAATCCCTGATAAAATTTGTCTACAGCAGGTCCCAAATGACAAGGCTTATTCTTGTGTAGGATCCATAACGAATGTATATTTAATGAACAATAAAACACCATCTCCACAAACTATGTACAAAGATTTTCGGGACTTCTAAACAGCTTTACAAATTTATGGTCTGTTAGATCAAAGGATATCTTGCCCCAGGAATGTTTTGGAACCCCAAATTATTCCATAGCATCATCCTCATACCTCAGTTATATGTCATTATAATATTAATGAATTTCTCAACTTGCATTTTAAAACTAAATTAAGCACAACTCGTTAAAAAGATCGATACACCCGTTCTTCATATCCAAAACAAAAACAAATTTCCTTTTACACGAAGAAGAAGAAGAAGGAAAATCAGACAATAAATACCTAATAAATTGGAACAAAGGTGGAATAAGTTCACGTCAAAGTGCTTTTGAAGTCATTCATGTGTATGCGAATATCATTGATTGTTTAGAACGAAATATCGACAAAAAGATTTAAAATTTAGTCATTATCACACTTACGGTAATTGTATGAAGTAAAGCTGCTGCTACATTTAGTGAGTCTGATATATACTCCAGTAGTATAAGATTTTCGATAGCATTATTCAATTGGCTCGCAAATCTAGAAACACGAAAATCCGTCGATGCTAAAGTAAAAAGTCGAAGTTAGACACTAAAAACTCACTCTATAATATGTTGATGCTTCATAATTAGTCGGTTCACGTCATGTGTTACATCCAGTTCTTCTCGATTTGGGTCAAACACTTTACGAATTTCAATTTGCAAAATGCGCAGCTGAGCATTTATGAAAACCATCAAGGTTTGAGGAACAGCTGAAACAGCCACATTGTTGAAAAATGCAACTATAATTATGAAAATGTTGAAAACTATAATCAGCATATCATTCTCAGTTTTGTCAATGGGAATCCAAAGCTCTAACATAAACACTTCATCAGTTTTAAATAAACGGTTGATTTTTTTGTACACGTTCATTCCAATAAACAGGCCAACTGTTATAAAAGTACACATCGTATGCACAGTCATGGCCCATTTGTTGTATTTCACTTGATTCAGATAACTTTTCTTAATATCCGGGTCCTGTGAATTCAGGCAAACTGCTTCTTCGTCGATGACTTCTGCAAATAAATGGGGAACGCCATTTCTCAGGTAAAAGAATATTTTGCAACTGATCATTGATAAAATTAGCGTTAATGTCAGAGAGCCAAAGACACGATCGGATGGGGCTTTTTGCACAATTAAATCAATTAACCCGATTATCAGCGAAATGCTGAAAAGGGCATAAATAAAGTGCAAAATTTGCGAATACGCTTTGTACAATATTTGCACTATTAAGTTATGGTGTAGGGGTAAGACCCACAAGCCATTGATTATCATGAAAAACTTTGAAATCTTAAATATGCTGTCCATGTTCTGCGTGCAATGACTGAATGAGTTACCGGTTCTAATATTTTAAATATTTTTGCCTATCTATTAATTAGGTCAATTAATTATTCATTACAAAATGAAAATTCCTCTGTCCAATATAATTGTAATTATAGGCTGTTTTATAATGACCGCAGGAAAAAGGATTCTAAACTACATCTAATTAATAACTGGCAAAAGAGGAATTTTAAACCCTTTAATTAATTTCTTTTTCAATTTGTGACAGATTATTAGACAACAAATTACTACTTGTGGCGTCCGTTTTTTAAAGTAAATCATCTCAAAGGTCAAAACAATTAACTGAAAATTAGTTTCACTGGGTATGCCAAATATTTTTCGTCTTTTCAAGTGGTCTGTTGTTTGTTGAACAAAACACATCAGAGTATCCAAATCAGATCCAAAAATCTGTATTGAAAAAAGAGGTTAACAACAGATTCTTGCACAAAAATTTCAGTGTCTGCGCATAATTATTAATTGTTTTCAAAGGTTTCAAAAATCACATTTGTCATCTGATTGTAATGGGTTATCGAATTTGAGGTTGGGAAAGTAAAACCTTGCTATTTGATATCAGTAAATCTAAACTCGGTCTGTAGTGGAGGCGAGCGAAGGGCGAATCTAGAGGGGGGTCATTACGCTCATGACCCACGCTTATGCGGGGTTTATGTCGACTAATGATAATTTTTCTAATTTCATAGACAATTTACGAAAATAAATACTTTGTGTGATGGCAAACACCTCCACTAATGCATATTATGAATATTTAGCTGCTATTATAATTATATGGCGCGACAGACCCTTCAGTATGAATAAATAACTAACTCTCTTAAAACGGGCCCGATTGGGATCACTGTAAATTCGTTAAAAAGCGAGCTTTCTATGTGGAGTTAACTTGAAAACTTGAAAGTTATGATGATTTGAAGATCGAAAATACGATTTTCTCAACAAAATACTTTGAATTTTTTTACCTCGATTAATTCATTCTCAAAATAAAACATCAAACTGTTTGCAAAGCGTTTTCTCGACACATT